TTCCTGTACATGTCTTAGGAAGAATATATTAGGAATACATCCTTTGAGAACACGGCCTCACAGTCACAAAAACCTATGCTTTGATTTTGTTTTCCTTTGTGGTCAGGGGTTGGACTAGATGACCTTTGGGGGTCTGTGCCATCTCTATGATTCTGTGATTCCACGTTCACCAGGGAACCTAAGTGTATTGGGTAGGTTACATGGGAGAAGGAGAAGGAGATCCCATAGGTAACCTGGACCCAAGCCATAGAGGGCTTTAATGGTAACAACTTACACTTTGTAATTTGCCCAGAAATTAATTGAAGGTCTGTGATTGATTTTAATATTTGTGTAATATGATCATTCCTGGATGCAGCCTTGGGGATCAGTCCTCTGGTTCTAGAAATGGACATAGCTGGCATGACAAAGGAAGGTGATAAACGTTGAGTATCCCTTATGTAAAATTCTAAAATCTTCCAAAATCCAAAATCCTCCGCATGGATGGCTGAAACAGGGACGCCTTTGCTTTCTGATGGTTCAGCGTACACAAACTTTGTTTCATGCACAAAATTATTTAAAAATTCTATGCATAAAGTTACCTTCAGGCTATGTGTTTAAGGTGCATATGAAACATACGGTAAATGAATTTCATGTTTAGACCCGAGTCCCATCTCCAAGATATATCAAATATTCCAAAATCTGCCAAAGTCAGAAATGCAAAACACTTCTGGTCCCAAGCGTTTTGGATGAAGGAGACTCGGCCTGTAGTAATGCATACTTTCTCCAGTGTAGAATAGCTTTTTCCAAAAGCATTGTTACTTTTGTGTGTTTTCAAGAAGTTTTTGACTTACAGTGACTCCAACGAGGATCTATCATGGGGTTTTATTGGCAAGATTTGTTCAGAGGAGATTTGGCATTGCCTTGCCCTGGGGCTGAGAGTGTGTGACTTGACCAAGGTCACCCAGTGGCTTTCCATGGCTGAGTGAAGACCTGAATGCTAGTCTCCTGCTGTCCTAGTCCAACAACGTTCAGGCCACTACACCGCGCTGCCTCTCAACCGTTGCTTGTAGGATATTTAAAAAGCAGGTTTTAAAAAAGAAATCAACACATTATAAAAGAGCAAACACAGGGACCGCCTGTAACAGCACAGAAGTATTTTCTTAACAAAATAAAACAAAACAGGCAAGACTGGGCAGTCTGGAGGAGTTTGTAATTTTTTGCTTGGCTTGTTAAAAACATTTTGTTTCTGGGTTGTGGTTCATGTGTAAAACCTCCCTGGGGGGACTTGACTTTTCCTGGAATGAGGCTGTGCAATCTCTTTTGGCTGCTGTCTATTTTTGCCAGCAGCAAAAACCCTCATATTTTCCCCACCCTTTCCCCTTCTACGGCAGCTATCTCGAACCTGCATCCTTCCAGATATGCTGGACTCCTGGCAAGGGGGATGATGGGAATTGTAGTCTCAGTGTACTACACTTAGGGAGAAAACATGAAATGCACAGATATAGGCATTAAGCCAAGGGGACACCTGGCTTAACAAGACTCCATGTCAAAGGGATCTAAGGGCCTTTGCAGACTGCTAGAAATAGTGCAAATTGAGTCCACTTTGACTGCCCTGGCTCAGTGCTAGGGAATCATGGGAATTGCATTTTTTTCTGAGACATTGAGCCTTCTCTGACAGAGAGCTCTGATGCTACAATAAACTACAGTTCCCATGATTCTCTAGCACTCCGTCAGGGCAGTTAAAGTGGACTCAATTTGCACTGTTTCCAGCAGTGTGCAAAGGCCCTAAGAGTCCTAGTAGACTCCAAGTTGAACATGAGTCAACAGTGTGAGGCTGCAGCTAAAAAGGCCAATGCAATTCTAGGCTGCGTTAATAAAAGTATAGTGTCTAGACCAAGGGAAGTAACAGTGCCACTCTATTCTGCTTTGGTCAGGCCTCACCTGGAAGACTGTGTCCAGTTTTGGGCACCACAATTCAAAAAGGGCGTCTCTAGAGGAGGGGGGCCTAAATGGTGAAAGGTTTGGAAACCATCAAGCCCAAAGAGGAGACAGAGCTGGATGACCATCTATCGCATTGGAGGGTTTGGATGGTGTCGTCCTGCCTGGCAGAATGGGGTTGGGCTGTATGGTCATAGAATCATAGAATCATAGAATCACAGAGTTGGAAGAGGCCACAA